AATAAGACCCCATTTTTGTCACTATTACCATGATCCCTACTAAAGTATCTGAATCACAGAGATTGGTTTCCATTTGATAAACAACTCAAGTGGAGCCTTGTAGAAGCTCAAAGATCTATTTGTCAAGTTCCTCTACCTGCTCAAGCAAGAATTCAACTAAACTAGCTCAGGCAGGAAAAACCTCTTCTTCCCTTAGAAAATTCTAGCTATTATCTGACTTTCACCTCTCTTAAACCAGTTTCTTCAGCAGAAATGGAGCACAGCAAGCCATCTTCCTTGTATTGTAACACCTTCTAATAACTCCCACTCCTGTGGCCATAAGCTACCTCCTTTCCAAGGACTGAGCTCTGTCTGGTACAGGACTACATTAAGCACTGTACAAGTGTCTTCTCACTAGCAGCTACAATGAACCTATGGGATTGCTGTTACTATCCAAACTTCACAAATGAGAGCCTAAAGTTCAGAGATGTTAAGTCGCTCACTCAAGGTTATATTATTAAAACTAGTGATGTAGGGATTTGAATCCAGGTCCATGACAGAAGTCCATATGCAGAAGAAATGACCAGATAACTCACACAAGATGAAATAAAATAGCAAACAATTATAATGAGGAAATAATGAAAGATCTTGTCAATTTTGGAGGAAAAAAAGGCAAAATCAGGAAAACAACCAAGGTCTGAAATGGGCATAAGAGTAAAACTCTTCAGCATTACATCTATACCCATCCATCTCCCATTCACAAAAGAATATTTACGGAGAACTGACAAATGGCAGGGATTTCCAATCCAAAGACATAGATTCTCCACATGAAAATAGGCATTAGGATGGTCAACTTGTCTGGTTGAGATTTTAAAATATATAAACATGACTACAAATGTGTTTCTTGCATGAAGAAAAAAACAAAGCGGATATATAAACAACTCAATTATGCTATAATCTTAGTTTCCATTATTTTTAAACAGCTAAAATAATTTTGAGATAAAAATAAATTAATGGAGAAATCTGGAGTAGAGAAATTCAACTTACTAAAATTTTAACAACCACTTGTCTTCTTTCTTAGAAACAACAGATGACACGATATAATTCTAGGAGTAATAGCTAACCTTTACTAGGCATGTATAATGTGTCAGGCATCATGCTAAGTGTTTTACTGTCATTATTTCATTTAATATGATATAAACACACTGTATTAAATATATGATATAAACTTAACAAAAATGACAGATTTACAAGTTAACATTGTGATAAACTTGTATGATTCTGTAAATTCTCTGATATATAATGCAAAATATGCTTTAAAAAGTATCCACTTATTTACTTGGAGTATAAGCTTCTTTTACTCTCTTAGAAGAGTCTCTTTAAATGGAATGAATAAATTTGCTTTGAACTGTCAATGGTATAATGAAAGGAAGTGGAACCAGGTATATCCAATTATTAATTTCCTTCTGTTTTCCCAGTGAATAATCAATTCGCACCAATATAAATTATACTTTGAGGTTCACCACGCCCCATTTTCATTTGGCTAGTGTCACCTTTAAATAAAGTAACCTCGGTTAAATTTTAACAAAATGGATTTTAGTTTATGGGTGTGATAGTCAGTTTTATGTGTCCACTTGGCTGGTCTCTAGTCCCCAGTTATGCAATAAAACATTAATCTAGGTATTACTGTGAAAGTATTTTTTTCAGATGTGATTAGCATCTACAATCAATTGCAGATGTTAAAAGTAGACTTGAGATTTCTCTGAGGAAGAAGAAATTCCACTTGTAGACAGCTTACTCAATTCTGGATGCTAGGAACTCTGGAACCATCTTGAATCTTCCCTTCCCCTTATTCCTGGCATTTAATCCATCACTACTCCCTATCCATTCATGTTCAACCCAAATGCCATTAACCTTGTCTGGATATCCATTAAATCTTGTAAAAGTATATACTGTCCTAATTGGTACAACTGCCTCTAGTCTATCTCCACTCCACACTTTAATTCACCTCTATACAACCAGCCTACCCCTTGTCAAAATCCAGCTTTAACGTCTCTGGCTGTCTCGAGGGAAAAGAGCGTATCTTACCATTTGTGTACACCCAAGACCTTAGCAAAATAATAGACTCAGAGTAAATGTTGGGTAAGTAGGAGTAAATTCCCCAGGGCATGGGAAGCATAGATTCTTCCTAGATGGGCAAAGTCTTTCTGAGTATTATAACTAAGGTAAAACAGTCACTAGGAATCATGCAATGATTTTGGCTCAGATGGTCTTTATGTTTGTTTGTTTTTAAACAGCTTTTCTGAAGTATAATTGATATACAAAAAACTCCATATTTTTAGCATGTACAATGAGTTTGGACATGTGTAAATATCTGTGATATTGCCATCACCACAATCAAGGTTACTGACATATTTACAACCTCCCAGAATTTCCTTTGTGTCTCTTTGTGGGTTGTTTTGTTACCAGTGTCTTAATTTTAGGGAGTCAGTGAAATCTATGGAGTCTCTCCCTACAAAAACACATTTTGCACAAAATTTCTGGGATTTCATGTGATTCCTAAAACCCATCCATCCATGGAACACTCCCCCAAAATGGTCTATGGACCCCAAGTTAACGATCCCTGAATAAAACCAAATATCACTGTTCAAATTTGATTTTAATTCCCTCTGGTTTGGATTTCAGTTTCCTTTCCCTCATTTGCATGTGTGTGTGTGTGTGTGTGTGTGTGTTTGCACTACCATTGAGAATCCACATGACTCAGAAAGACCGGCTATAGTAATTAATTAAAAGATGACCCCACCTACAAGAATATTCGGTTCTCTGGGAGGAAACTATTTCCAAGGACACTGTTGTTCTGTTCTCCGTCACAATACACTGTCCTGGTTTGCAGATATGTGATGACAACAATGCTTTCTACTGAAATAGCTACCCTTTTACCTCTGAGGCCTCATGTCTGCCTTTCAAGCTACCTGTGAAGATGGGGAAATGGAAAAATCAGGGGAATGTAACTTAAGCTAAGTCACGAAGCAATACATGGCACTGTTTAAAAGAAGCCCATACCTCCTGATGGCCAATTCAAACACTACTCTAAGACACAGCCACCTGCCCAGTATCCACCATGAAAAGTTTTTACATTAGGCTTATCCAAGCCCGTGTGTGAAGTCACCCTGAAAATAAATCTTCACAGCTCAGAGAGCCAAGATACAAACAAATGGGAAAATATTGCCCACAGATATCAAAGACAAAATTCGACTGCAGCTGAAAGAGAGACAACAGAGAGCTAGCAGAGGGAGCAGTATATGCACAAGAGATAGAACATTTTAGAAGTGGAGATGAAGAGCAGACACCTGATAAGGACAATGATGAACTATGTCATGATATTTTAGGACATTATATTTAGGCAGCAGAGAGTCTGAGCTAAATGCTTTTTTTTCCAAATCACCCTCATCAAGAATCCACAAAATCTAATAAAAGAATGGGAATAAGAAGCTTAAGAGGCTTCTGTCAGTCAATCAATCAAAAAAGCAATTATCTAGGACCTATTTCCATAAGGTAGCCGTGCTAGGCACTGTACAGCCTGAATTGCTCATTAAAGTACCTGTCATAGGATCCTCGTTCCTTACACAGTTGGCCGGAGCTGTGCTAAACACTCCTATTTTTTGTCCCAATTAAGAATTTCCAGGGGAAATATAAGTAAAACTACTTTACCATGCAAAACAAAGTATTATAATGTAATTGAGAACAATATAAATACCCATAGATCTCCCCCTTGCTTTCAAATAATAGAATCTAAGACTTCACTCCTTAAGAATCTTTATCATTTGCAAAGGAGCTCCCAGATACTATGTTTCAGAAGCATTCTCTGAAAATTTATCAGAGCATTTCTCCTACTTCATTGAAAACAAGTGTCTCCATGTGTCTCTTTTTGGAATGAAATCTTCAGGAGGGAAGGTTCAGGTCTTACGTGTTTCTAAATCCTCAGAGCTGGTACAGGGCCTCACCTGTGAACCACAAATGCTGACCAGCTGAGTTGTTTTCTTAGTTGGGAGAGGTAAGCCATGCACTTCACTCTCTAGCATCCAATCCCTCTGATTGAAGACAGGCTGCAGAAAAGTGAGATTATAACAAGCTAAGATGATCCTGACATCTATTGCTGTGCTCTTGGTAGCACCAGGTTCTTTAAATAAAGCTCAAATAGAAAGGTACGGTTTTGACTTAAGCAGTGCTTTAAAAATTTTGCAGCTGATACATTTTTCTCATTTCTACAGTGGTCATTTGAATGTGTTCCTGACCATCTCGCCTCAATAGGTCCCACTCTATACTCTCCATATCAACTCTGTTTCCTTGCTCGCATTTATATTACTTATTTTCTGTTTACCTTTTTATTGCTCTTGGATTTCACTAAGATAACATGGCTTTATGAGGACAAAGAACATGTCTACTTTATACGCACTTGCATCTATGGGTCTAATCCAGTGCCTGACACACAATATAGGTGTGTAATATATACTTGTTCAATAAAATAAGTGAAATTACTTGAGACTGTATTTCTCCAATTGCTAGAAGAGTAGTTTGATGAGATGCTCTAGAGGAAAAAGAAGATTGTTTTGTCGGTCAGTAATTTTGAGCAATGTTTAATGTTATCTTCCCTCTGGAATATTGGTATATCCAAGGCTGTAAGAATTCTTACATGATAGAATCCATTAAATATTATTTAATTCAGCATTTCCCAAATTTATATGACAACATAACCTTTTAAAAAGGTAATATCTAATAACATCCTGTGGAATGTGTTCCAAAGAATACACTTTGGGAAACACTGCTTTAAAAGCTAAAAAGAGACACTGGGCTAATAGGCCCAGAGATGCTAGTATTTCTTTTTTCTATATTTGTAAGGCTGAAGACAGCTTCTCTGATCACTCCAGGAAGGAACACAAGATTTTTCTAACTTACTATTCTCTGGACAACTTTCCTTTTTAATAACTCCAATCACCATGTAGCATCAAAATGCTCTTGAAAGCATAGCTGGTTTTATATTGGATCTGCTTAAAATAGAAGCCTCCAGACAACTGGTTTAAACTCCAGATTGGTACTATAGGCCTCAAGTTAACCTGACTTACTTTTTTCATTTAAATTTAATTATTAGTTAGCATAATATTTTGAACCAAAAATATTTGTTTTACAAAAGCATACCCAGAGACTTTCATGAAATCAGTTACTCTTACCTGAGGCATGAAAACATTCAGGCAGGTACCATTATTTGAAAGTGTGATGTAAATAATTACCAATTGTTAACAAGTACAGAAGTTAGTAAGTGACTCATTTAACAAAAACAAACATATTAGTGTTGTTAATGGCATTCTTTTTTTGCACCACTCTTCCTCGAACTCCAATATGATTCCTTAAACGTGAGAAGAAGGAAGAGGAGCTAGCTCATCTTGAAATGATATGTCCATGATATGTGCCTATTATCGAAATTCCATTAAGAGTAGGAGTGATTTTTTCTTTTCTTTTTTTTTTTTTTTAGTTTATTCCTGAGCAGAGAAGGAAGAAAGGAAGGAGACTGTCAAAATTGGGGAAGGGGCTTCAATTATGTACCACACTTGTGCACGCTTTCTACCATGTAGATGACAACAGAAAACAACTGACAGAAAAGTGAGCCTTACTTGCTCTCCTAATACATGCATCCATTTAGGTGAAAATATGTATTTTCATATTACTTTTTAAGATTCCAACAACTGCACAAAGCAAGGTCGACCCATGTGATACTTAATGAAATTGTTTATAGTTTTCTGTATATATGGCTCTGAACAGATTCCAAAGAATTGCCAGTTCTACATGAAGAGAGTTTCATTAAATAAGCTACTCTATTTTAGCCATAAAGCTACACAGAGCTGTTCTCTAAGCAGGAAAAATAAATATATGTTACATTCACACACATTTCAAAAGCTGTGCTTGGTTTATAACAGCTTGTGTTGAGGTCACAAAAGTGAAAGTCATCTACCATGGTGGGTCAAAGGTGAATGTTTAACAAACATTTGACAAATCACACCCAAAGTTGGGAATCTTTGAGGAAGTGTGAAATGGATGAAAGATTCACGTCATCTCTAACTTTTGGCCCAGTGTTCTTTGCATTCACTTTTAAAAAATCCATTTTGATAACAGGCCAGAGTTGAAGGAAATCCCCCTGCTTATGGTACTTCCAAGGTGAAAATGAAAAATTCTGATAAAGCTCACAGCCTTGAGGAAAATTTAAAGTGTCTTATTGCCTTAATTTTCTCTTATTTCACCACTCATTATCAGGCAGAACTGAAGGACAGATTCTGCCTTTTGCTCTACAGGCTTGAGCCTATTCTCACTGGAGACCATAGTTGGTGACTTGAGTATTTCGCTACCCATTTATCTGTGTAGCCCTCTATTTAATGGACTCAAGATCTGCAAAGTGCATTTGATGGAAGAAGTCTGTACATCAGCTGACGGGATGTGTGGGTGTGCACACATTAGACAAAGAGAAAAGTTACTCTCTGCATGCAATGAGCCAAATTATCCCAATTTCTTAGTAGAAGTTTTTCCTCCCTTCTTTTTCTTCTTTCTTTTTACAGCTTAAATAATATTTAGCTAAGATTTCAGGTTCTTGGTTTTCAGTAGGATGCAACAGGTGTGGGAAGGGCTACGTGCCTATTGCCAGGGCATATTGCTTAGGAGATTTCTGCTCTTCCTAGTAAACATTTGTCTTACAATTGAAGGTGCCTTGCCACTGCCCCTGATTTCAGAGTAGGGCCCCATAAAGCTGGCAATGTTAAGACCAAAATAATGTCATTTAGTGTCTAGGGGTGGGGGGTTAAAAAAAGGATTAGAGGCAGGCAAGCAGGGTATATTAAATGAGTCCATGACTAACAGGGTGTGACAGAAAGGGGTTTTATTCTTTTCAACAAAACAATTCCCTAGGGCTGGGACCATTACTCCACTATGCCTTTATCACCTTGGAATTTTTATGGTTATTTTTGATGAATTCACATTTTTGTAAAGGCTTTTTTGAAATGATGCCAGTTTTCAATTTTTAATTAAAGTCGTAAATAATCTTAATTCTGCCTTAAAAGGTTTATTGTTTCTTACTTTTTTTTTTTATTATTGCTGCCAGGAAATATTTGAAATACCAAGCCCTGATGTAAGTCAGCAATTAGAATTTCTCCAAGGTCTAGTAACAACATTGTACCACGTAAATATTATACACTGGTATACCAGCACAAGGTTTGAAAATGTAGATTGATTGATTTCAGGTTTATTAGCACTGCTTCTCCTGGGAGTGACATTTCTTCTTTTTACTGGATGGCACAACTTTATCATTTTAATTTCCACAAATTAATCCATCACAGATCCATAAAGGATTTTTAAAATCTTTAAGTTAAAAAAGTTAAATTTCAAAAAGTAAACACAGTAAACTTGTCACTAAGGACCAGGCAATGGAAGTCAGCCAAATCCAATTCAACCATTTGCAGAAAACAGAGTTAGCATCAAAAGCTAAATCACTGGAGCAATAACACCTCACTTTATGTAAGATAAAATTAAGAGAATACTGTAAAATTTGACATTAGATTATAATACTGCTCCTTGAAAGTATATCCTTGTTATCTAGATTGTCTGTTGAAGGTTGTCTGCAAATTGTCTATAAATTTATATTTTGTAGTTTCAAAGTCTGATTTTCTTTTTTATATTAGTGCTTCAAGAATCTTTCATAAATCAAATTACTCTTTATATAGAGACTGAAACATACCAAGTTTGAACAGAAACCATTAACAATTCCTTAAATTGTACGTTATGTTTCCATACTTACTTTCAATATCATTTTGTTGCTTATATTTGTCTAGATATGGGCATATATGCTGTCATATCTATGACAATTGTTACCATCTACGAAGGTGCTCTCCACTCTTATGATAGATTTGCCATTACAGTAAAACCTCACACATTTGAGAAAAGTTGGAGGTGGAAAATGGTCATATTTAGGGAAAAATACTACCAGCAAGAGCTTTTCTAAACAAACACAACTTATCACCTCAAGTTTATGAGATACATGCAGATAACAATGAAAATGTTAGGCAACAGTCCCGCTAAACACAGTTAACAGCATGCAACGACATTGTGTTATTTTAAGAACATTAATCATCTCTTCACAACTTTATTTATATTATTAATTCACTTAGCAATTACTTTGCTCTTTTAAAATACAACTCTATATCCAATCTATATCAAACAGACATCTATTATTGTTAATAATATTATCTATTGATAATGATAATCTGTTATCAATTTACTGTGATCCTCATTAAAGAGACAACTATTTAAAGAGAAAAATAAATAATTTTAACAATTGACTTTCAAGAGTGTGTTTGTATACAATTAAAAATATCTATAATATCCTTTTAACTGGACATTTTTCTAACTCATGGAAGAGGTCAAATTATTTCCATATTCAAACCCTCAATTGGCATTGTGCTAACACCTCTCAAGTAACAAAAAGACTACAGAGCATTTCCAAACATAAACATGTTAAAACCCTATAAACCATGAAAGAATGCAGGATGTAGTTAGCAAAAAGTCATGGTGACCTGAAAACCATGACCATGGAGTTCAATCACTTGAAAAAAGCTGAGTCTTAAACTTCCCTTAAATTGTTATTAAGAGCCCTTAAATCTCAGGTACCGATCTAAAGACAAATGAAATACTCAAAAAGCCAAGGTCAGGTCAACATATTTTCTGCCATGGTCAGAAGATACATGTTGGTCCAAAAATTTACAAACTCAGTTATTAGGAAATGCCTTGAAAGGCAGTAAGTTCCTTGCCCCTTAAGGTGTCGAAGCACAGCATGACCAGCCACTCGCTGGAGAGCTTATGAGGTTAGAAGAACAAGACACGGGGGTTGACTGGTTGATCTTTAACTTTTGCTCCAAATTTGAGATACAATGATTTCTATGAACTTTGAAAGATGTATTAATCCCTCATTGACGTCAAAGTAATTTTAGGGTCAATTCCTTTCTCAGATTTTCATGCACAGTACCTATCAAGAAACATGTTTTTTTCTAAGCTTAAAAGGAGGAATGCTTCTCTACTTAGTCATTCGCTCATCCTAGAGATTTACCTACCTTCTTCATCAGAGCTAAAATGATTTTAGCCAATAGACATACTATGAAAAGGGTATCTATTGTGCTGTTTTTCTCCCCAATTTAATTTTCTTGTCATTTGGACTTAATTTCCATAAAAGCCTTTTGTTACTTTCCAGTTTAGGTAACTTACGCTAATTTTCTCTGATCCTTATTATACAAGCCCTTCCCAGAAATTCATATCTGGCTATATCAGCTATGCAAACTATAGCCTTGCTATTCCAGGCTTACCTCAGAGGTATTGCAGGTTAGGTTCCAGACCACAGCAATAAAGTGAATATTGCAATAAAGTGAGTTATAGGAACTTTTTGGTTTCCCAATGCATATAAAAGTTATGTTTACACTATACTATACTGTAGTCTATTAAGTGTTCAATAGCATTATATCTAAAAAATGTACATATCTTAGTTTAAAAATACTTTATTGCTAAAAAATGCTAATCATCACCTAAGCCTTCAGTGAGTCAATCTTTTTGTTGGTGGAGGGTCTTATAAAAAACACAATATCTGGGAAGTGTAATAAAGCAAAGCGCAATAAAATGAGGTATGCCTATATTTCACAGAAGACTTCTCTCCTCAAAGAGTCTAAAACATGTTATACCTTTAGGAGTATAAGAATTTCCAATGCCCTGCAGAAGCTCCCAGTACTGCAGAAAAATTTAAATGTGCTTTTTTCTGGCTGGATAACTTCTCTTTTAAAATTACCTTTTTCCTCGCTTGTTGATCTTTGGAAGAATGTGCCTTCACATGCTTTCTTAGGGAACTTGGGTCTGTGTAGCGTTTGGTGCATCCTGGAATTTGACAAGCATAAGGTTTCTAAATAGAAAAGAAAGAAAAAGCTGTGGTTAAATCATAAAAGTGACAGGGGCAGATTTACTCAAAGACTACTGACTGCAGAGCATGAACTATTACCAAATGACTGATGTGAAATGCTGGGTAATACACAGACATTTTAATTAGAAAACCCAGTAAGTTTGCATCAAAGCAAAAAGGCGAGTAAAGTTTCAAGAAACAAAGAAAGAGATGTCCTGTCTTTGATAATTTTTAAGAGATTGCTATAGGAGACCTCTTGTGGCATTTTTTAACGTGGAAATTATGAATAAGTATCTCCAGCCATACTTACAGTTATGTTCCCCTGAAAACAACCTTTGGTACTGTCAGAAACTAGGAAACACATATTCTTTAAGAGTTCAGGTATAAATAAGCTGTAGAAAAGTCCAGAAAAAACGGAATGTTTCAGAAGAAACCTGATTCAGAAAGAGAAAGGGAGAGAATTAAAAGGGAAAATTAGTGGAAAGTAGTGAGTAGGAGACAGTAGGTTTCAAACAACAGACACATGAAAAATCAGCCAGAAAGACATTAATGTCATCAGTTGTAAACGAGTCCTGGTGCTAAGCCTGGGTTTGTGAATAAGCCCTTGGCTGGACGTGTTGAGAACACCAGTTTTGGATACCACAATTCCCCATGTGCTCCTGAGATGTGATGTGTGGAGCCTAAGGCTGAGTCTAGAATCTTTTTTATTTTTGTATTCCTGTTGACTGGCTTACACTAATTAGGAATGAATGAATATACTATATATCAATTTAAATTTTAGCACCTATTCCTAGTATAATAACAAAAATCATAGCAAGGGTTTGAGTGTATGTCTTTTAAGTTTGCAATAAATCAAAACCTTCTGTTTATTCTAAGAAAAAAAAATCTCAGATCAATTGTGTTTACAAGATGTATTAATAGTCATCTACTTAGTATCTCATTAGGTACGATATTCTAGCTCTGTCTACACGAAGTGAAATGTAAGGAAGAGAACTGAAACTCTGTCTCTAAAATGGGATTCTTGCTGTAGAAACCAGCTCTCCTACTGACAAAAAAAAAAAATCAGCTTTTTTTTGTTACTCTTTATATTTTGTTCCTATTTTCATGTGCATCCTTATTTTACTGCCCAACTTACATGTGGATTATATTATTTACCCTATTGGAAGTTGTATTTATGATTCACTTTTTTCTGCCATTTTTGACTTCAAGAACAAGGTAAAATTATGAATGCATAATTAAGTTTAACACTCCCAATTTGTACTCCAAGTTTGATTATCTGACCTGTGTGTTCACTGAGTGACTGAGTGATTGACTGAATCGCCCAACAGCTTTTACACTTCCACGATGTGCTGGGCACTGAGTACATATCAGGGATATAACAATGTACAATAGATGAACCAGGCTCTCATTATATCTCAGTTTTGCAAAACGGTGAGCCAATTATGGCCTGAAGTCACTTGCCAATGATTTTCCATTGGGTAAGTAAATGTTTTCTTTAACCTGGAAATCTCTTTTGGGTTCACACGATGTGCTGGGCACTGAGTACATATCAGGGATATAACAATGTACAATAGATGAACCAGGCTCTCACTATATCTCAGTTTTGCAAAACGGTGAGCCAATTATGGCCTGAAGTCACTTGCCAATGATTTTCCTTTAAGTAAATGTTTTCTTTAACCTGGAAATCTTTTCTGGGTTCACACGACTTTCTTGCCCTAGTCTACCTTATCCTGCCTTGGCTTTAGGTGAGTGACGCCAATATCTTTATTGGAATCATGTTATAACTACATAAGCTCATGTTTGAACATTACAGAGATGTTGCAAGTAAAAAAAAAAAATCTTTGGGAATATAAACATGTTATACAAACATGTTATATAAACCGGTGCCATTATTATTATTATTATTATTATTATTATTATTGTCACTATTATTTGGGTTAGAAAGATAAGAAATGGGTAATGTCTTTTTGTATTTAATTTTGAGATGTTCTTGAAAAAAACTTGAATATTCATCATTCCTTTCAGCTGGTCTTCATTCTCTCCCCTGCCATCAGCCACCTGGGGTCAGTATGCCAAAATAGCAATGTAAGAAGTTGGTCTCTAAGTGGTACTGGTGTACTGGTCATTTTACCTCAGATTACCAAAGCTATAAATGGCATGCTATACTTCATCAAACTACATTTTTCATTATTTATATTTTTACTGTAAAATTATTTCCACTGTTTAGACATTAAGATGCTAATAAAAATGAATTAATAAAACTGTTCAAGGTTAGAATTATGAACTCAGTATCATTATGGAAAAAAAAAACATTTTCTTGTTAGTAAAGAATCCATTTAGTTGAAGAAAGATATTTTATCCAAAATTCTAATGGTATTAGCATAAGGAGTACTTTATGAAAGGGAAGAAGCACCTGAATTTAAATAATAAATTATTTAAGCAACTACAGTTTGCTTTTTAAAACAAATGTTTAATTTCTATATGATTTTAAAAGAGCTGACCAATTTATCAAATGCAATAACAATTTAAAGAGGAGCTAGTTTGTATCTTAAAGGAAAAACAATGTTTTTAAAAGATTTCATAAAGAATAATTTTTTTTAAATAAAAATAGGGTTTAAAAAGCTACTGCATTGAATTGAATCATAAAATTATTATCTTAAGTAACTTTCTTCAAAAGTTTTAAAAAAGGATATATTTTTTAAAATTCCAAAATGATTTTAGAAAATGCTCTTAGTTTGATTAGCTAAAATTAGCTCAAGCAAAAAAGGGTACTGTAGAACCATAACACTTAGTTTCGCAATAGTTCTTTCAAACTACAGATAACTAGTTAGAGCAGAAGCAATTTTTCAAGACAATCTTGTCTCATGAATGTTCATTCTTCCATGATAAGTTTAATGACAAATTGAAAAATTTATTGGATTCTACCAAGACCATTTTAGACATACAAAACAGGGCATTTTAACATAATTTATTCCTCTTTCCTATTTCTACCTTTAAAAAATACTACTACTCACCAAATTTATTCATTTAATATTCTATTCTGTTGGTCTTAAAATCATTGAATTCAGTTAGGCTAGCACGGAAAAGGTCCATCTTATGCCCATATTACTCTAATTATATTTCAGATATTTTCTGGTAAACCATCACATTTATGTATATTGGGAGATAATTCTGTTTAGAAAGGTTACATGACATATAGCTAAAATGACTTCCATCAATATGACTAATAGAGACTAATATAAAATTTAATAAATATGTCAACTATAACATCAGAAGAATCTTAAATATGTATGAGAGGGTGTGTAGAAATAACAGTATCTTTTCAAAATTCAAATTCTGGTGTAGTTTAATAATAGACATCAGAATGTTAATGTTGAAAATGTACTGTCATGAATACATTATTTCCAAGAATGTGGGGTAAGAGATCTGTGATGTTATAATACATTTATCCTGATGGCTTTGTTAAGTGAAATTATATATAGTCTACCTGGCCTTGTGTAAGGAAAATGGCATCAAACCCTGAGAAATGCAAAAGAGGACAATCAACATAATTGAGAAAATAAAAGAGTCATAGAAAAGGCATTAGCAAATGAACAAAATGTTGTAGCATTAAGAGAGTTAAAAGGTAATAATGAAAATCAATTGTTCTTATAGGATTTATGTCAATAAGTGTGTGGCTGTGAACACAGAGAAAGTGTGATGAAACTGAACGCTTGGGA